TTTTTTTTTTTTTTTTTTTTTGACTGTGGTACAGAGCGAACTCCTATTCCTCCTCTCCCAGAATTTACATTTCTGATACACAGTTTCTCTCTTGATTCCCATTTTGCAATTTTTAGGTTATCTTGCCACAAAGGAACCGTGACTTTAACTTCACAATTTACTATTTACAGAGCTGATATGATAGATTTTTAAGAGTCCCGCCACGTTTTCCACAGATATTTTATCCTTCTTGGAGAATGTAGAGAGGGTGTTCTCCCCATACCTTTGATAACTCTCCTTCCCCCTAAGCGTGTGCTGTGCCTGGGCACCCCAAAACACTGCCCCGATTGCGGAGACAGTGCAAAAAGCAGTTTGTAGCCTCTGGTGTACTGGAAGCCACTGCTTTATGGAAGCCAAATGAATCATCTTTCCTCCTTTCACTTGATGTAGAAATATCTAGTCTGTTCTGTGGTATCCCAGTTTATCAATGTGGAATCCTCTGTGGGGTTTGCGGACACGAAGTTGTCTTGTGCTCCCCCGATGAATCTCACTGACACAGGAGGAGGAAGAAGACAGGGAATGTGGGTAGGAAACCAGGGGAGCCTACAGGAAAATTGCACAGCATTGTCTCTTCTTTTCCCTGCTTTATTTCTCTCCACAGTACTGACCGCCCTCTAGCACACGGAATAATTTACTTCTTCGTATAATTTATCATGTTCTTACCCATCTCATTAGAATAGAAGCCCCAGGAGGGCAGGGCTTGAATTTTTTTTTTCTTTTAAACTTGGTCCACTGCTTGGTCCCAATATCTAAAAGAGTAGCTGGCACTTAATGACCACGAAATAGATGCTTGTGAATCAATGAAGGCCTCTGTGCAACTCATATGGTCCTTTCAGATCTCCTGAGGGCAAAAGGTTAGGAAGAAGGAAGAGAAAGAGGAAGGAAGGAAAGGAAGGAGGTAGGAGAGAGGGAAGCAAATAAGGAATTTGACAGCGTTTTCCCTGGACACTTTTCATAAGTGTTGTTTCATTTTATCTCATCACCGTGAAAGGCAGGAGCAATTGTTTTCTTTCTATAGATGGGAGAGTTCAGGTTTGACTCTCTCAGAATAGATACCCTCTTTCCCCGGAAATAAGACCTAGCCAGAAAATCAGCCATAGCGTGATTTCAGGTGCCAAAGTATGGCACCTTGGCATACTGAATATTTTATTTTTTTATTTATTTTTTTTTATTATTTTTTTTTAAAGATTTTTATTGGGGAATTGGGGGGATGGGAACAGTGCTGGGGGAATTGGGGGAAGGGGAACAGACTAGTTGCTGTCGTTTTGTTCTTCAATCTAGTTGTGGAGGATGTTGCTTCACTGGCCCAAGTTGGCACCATCATTGCACTCTTCTCTGGCGAGGCAG